ATGGATTGACGAGAGAGGGGAAGAGCAATTTCTATGCCTCTGCCTTAACTCTCCCTGCCTTCCTAGATCCGACCAGTGTTTTGGTTTCATCCACATATGCTTGTGAATCTTTGTTCTCAGTGATGAATTTTGTTAAGTCTTGTAATAGGAGTAGCTTGATGGATGAAAGTAGTAGCTCGTGCATATCTCTGAAGGTCACGAAATATAAATCTGATATAAAATCTCTGTCATCAGTGATGCAGCAGCAAAAGTCCCACTGATAATATCAAACGGAGTCATATAGTTTTCTGTCGGACTATCAGTGTACATGTATACATTAAAAAATAAATGTATTTTTCATCATCATATACTGTGTTTTTGTCGCTTGAATGAATTATATTATTTCTTCAAGGTTCTTCACATACGTACACCTTAAGAGATATCAAGTAGGCGTAACATGTTCTCAAAAAATCAGGGTTGGCACGCAGAAGAATTTTGAGTCAGAGATTTTGCTGGTTTTGGCACGCACTCACAAAAAGGTTGCCCACCCCTGTTTTAGAGGCTGTGATAATCCTCGAGATCATGGTTACTAACCAGCAGAATTTGGCCCAAGGTTGTATGACATTGAAATGTTTAGTTGGAGGGGGAGACTACTTAGAATTCTCTTGAAGTTGTCTATACGACACAACTTGTGCTGTTGGCTATGAATGTTCCCCTCTCTTAGTTTTTCACGTGATAAGCATTTTAAAAAAATGTTAACTGGCTTTTCTCAAGTTCAAGTCCAGAGGGCCGGACTGCAGGTCTTGTCTTCTCCTAGCATAATAACTTCCCCCCAGAGTATGAACTGGGGCGGCCAGAGTTGTGGCAGGACAGGCGTTAAAAAAGTTTCTTCCCCTTTCCTGGGGAATCTAATCAACCCAAGAAGAAAGACAAAGATACTGATATTAGCGGTTCCCCGACTAAACAGCCAGCCAGTCCCCCCCTGCAGTGAAAACCACAGATGATAAGCCTCAGCCACTCACGTGAAGATTCTAATCTTGTTAGTGTCCTACTTTGTGTTTGTAATAGTTTTATTATAATATTATACAGACACCACACAACTGGCCCATTTAAAGTGTACAAGGTAATGGTTTTCAGTCTATTAGGAGTTGTATAACTATCGCCGCAACCATTTTAGAACATTTGCATCACTCCAAGAAGAAAACTCATCCTGAGCAGTCACTCTCCATTTCCCCAGCTCTCCCAGTGCTAGGTAACTCCTAATCCACCTTCTGTCTCTACAGATTTGTAGTGGCACACTTTTAAAAATATGTTTTGTTTTTTTAAATTGATTTTAGAGACAGAAAGGGAGAGGGAGAGAGAAACATCAATGAGAGAGAACCATTGACAGGCTGCCTCCTGCAGGCCCCCTATACTGGGGATCGAGCCCACAACCCAGGCGTGTGCCCTGACCGGGAATTAAACCAGCGACCTCTCAGGGCATGGGATGATGCTCAACCAACTGAGCACACCAGCCAGGCTGTAGTGGTACCTTTTTAAGTGTGAGCAGACAACCAAGGATTACCAGAAACCTGAGAAAAGTCACTGTTGTAAAAGATAGAGACAGAAATACACAAGAAAGCTAATTGGAGGGAAAGTTATTATGCTGGGAGGAGAAAATGCCAAAAGCCCACATCTCAACTATCAATTATATTCTCAGATAAGTTACTGTAACTATGAAATAATGATACTTAAAAAAATAAGAAAGAGGTCTTAGCAAGTAAAAATATAATAGTAGAAGTGACTCAGTAACAAGGTTCTATGAAAATACAAGGAAATTTCACCACAAAATGGAGCAAAGAGACAAAGAGATGGGAGACAGAAGAAAACAATAGAAATATGAAAGACAGTCTAGCAGTTCCAATTTTCAAATGAAGATTTACAGAGAGAGAGAAGAGAGAAAACAGAAGCAAGAAATCATCAAGAAAATATTTTAGATTAACAACAAACAAGAAAGGAAAAATAAAAGAAGAAAAAGAAAATTTCCTTTACCCAAAGGACATGAGCGTGCAGAATGAAAAGGCCCACTGAGTATACTTTACAAGGGATGGAAATATGACCCACTCCAAGGCACTTTATCAGGAAAAGAGAAGATCTTAAACTTTTAGACAGTGGATGAGGGGGCAAAGGGGGGATTATATGCGGAGGATTAGGATGCAGAATGGCTTTGAACTTCTCAACAGCAACCTGGGGAGCTGACAATAGAATAATGCCTTTAAAAACCTAAAGCAGTGATTTTCAACCTTTTTTGTCTCATGGCACACATAAACTAATTACTAAAATTCTGTGGCACAGTAAAAAATATTTTTTGCCAATTTCACCAAAAATAGGTATGTTTTTCATTGATTTACAAAAACAATAGTAATTTCCTACCCTTTTTGCTCAAAAGTGACTTTAAAAAATCAGGTGCCTATACTTGTACAGAAGAATTTCTGGTACCAAGAATTAATCAATCAGATGCAACATTATTATGTGATGCACATGACCAATAAGATGCAACTCTATAAGTGCCCTGACTAAATAGTCTGGTATTGCATGTTTTTTTTTAAAACAATATATTTTATTGATTTTTTTTTTTTTTATAGAGAGGAAGGGAGAGGGATAGAAAGTTAGAAACATCAATGAGAGAGAAACATCGATCAGCTGCCTCCTGCACACCCCCTACTGGGGATGTGCCCCCAACCAAGGTACATGCCCTTGACTGGAATCGAACCTGGGACCCTTCAGTCCACAGGCCGACGCTCTATCCACTGAGCCAAACCGGTTAGGGCAGGTATTGCATGTTTTAAAAATTCTTGTGGCACACCAGTTGAAAATCACTGACCTAAAGGGAAACCATTTTCAAAATAAAAGTCTATACCATGCCAAACTATTACTTATGAGTGAGCTTAGCAAAAAGACATTTCAGACAGGCAGATCTCAAAAAATTTATTTCCCACGAATCCTTTGCTAAAAAAAATACTGGAGGACGTGTTCCACAGAAACAAGGGAACAAGAGGAGGAAGATGTGAGAACTATGAAGCAGGGGACCCAACACCAGAAACGAAGGGCCTCCCCAGAGCAAAGGGGAGCAAGTTCCCCGGATGACAGCTGTGCACCGCAGACAGCGGACTGGACCGGCCACTCTGAGGAGGAGGTCTCAGGCGGCTGACCAGACAGTGGCGCACAAGGTCTGATGCACCGGAACCCATCAGACGTTGGTGAAGAGCTCGAGACTCAATTAGTAAGAAGTATGTAGACAACTAGCAGAGCAAAACATCATTTTGGGAAAAATACCAGGAAAAGTAATGATGCCTTGCAATAGGGCACATTTGTGAACAGTGTTTATGACACAATAAGGTAGGTATCAATCTAACCTGAATTACAATGCAACTCCACTAGGAGGATGGAGGGAATGAGGTTAGCAGAGAGACAGGGGCGATAAAAGGGAGCTATGTCATCCTCTTCCAAAGCGAGAACAAAAAAACCACGAAGTAGTGTTTTGTTTAGAGATGATGGGGAGTTTGCCATCCCCCCAATTGCCTCTTTGGAATATTGATCATTTAAGCTGATTATTTTTAAGGCCTAGAACGCTACAGTTTAATTTGAGCTAGGTGTGGCAGAGAGGACTTTTGATCGAAGTTTCTTCTGTGTCCCATTGTCTCTAGATGGCCCAGCAAACATTTGTTTACTCAACATTAACTGTTTTCGTCCACCCACGAGCTGCCTTTCTTCCCTTTGAAGTCCCAGGGTCCTACGCCCTCCCTAGTCCAAAATCACACACATACCTCATTTTGCCTGACTGGCTTTGAAATTCCTCATGCTTATGTGATTTGCTTGTGTGCACATCTTAAAACTTGATTTTCTCCTGTCAGTTGCCTTATGTCATTTTAATTATTCAACCAGCCAGAGGAACCAAGAAGGGGAGAGGGGAATTTTCCCTCCCCCGCAAGAAGAAATAGCCAAAAGGTTAGATTAAAAGGTAAAAATGATTACCTTTCGTGGAGAGGAAATGGGGTAGGGAGTAAATGGGATATATTTTTATTAAATTAGATCTTGGATAAAAATAAAACCAAACATGAAAAGAAGTATGAAGAGAACATTTGGTACCATAGAAACGTATGATGTAATTTAAAGTGGCATTTACACTGCGATTACAATGATATAATGAACCATACAGAGCCTAACTGGCGTTTACAAAGGCAATAACAATTCTATCAAGTCATGGGATTAAGAATAACTACTTTCTTTTCCAAATTTCCTATGGTGTAAAGTTCCTATATAGCTTTCATAATCAGAAAATGAATTCACAAAGCTGAAAAAGTCTATTCCTTAGCATAGACTGCAAATTGGTTCAGAATTATTTCTGTTTTTCAAATCCAAGATTTCAAGTTATAAAGGAAAGATTCTGGGTGACTGTGTTTTCTTTCTTATTCTTTTTTTCCTGCCAACTCAGCATTGGGAATATTATGAACCAGTGTTCTAAAACTTATCAATTAATCAAAGGTAATGATTATGTTTAGTTTCTCCCCTCAGTGCCATGAATCTCTGATATGTTTTTTGCAACACAATACAAATAATACTTTGCTCTGCCAAGTCTGAGGAAGCGAGAGAAAAATATCTCCAGATATCCAAAGTTAATACTGCTTGAACAAAGAAAAGTTACCCTTTTAAAACCTGTGGTTCATTTTAATGTTTAAGAAATGAAACAAAATGAACTCTGTAGTCCAGTTCTTGAGACACCTCAAGCAACATTCCTAGGAACCCATCAGATTGAAAAATAATTAAAAATATTAATGCCTTTTCATTGCAAATGTAATACATGACGAAAAATCTGCAAACTATTGAACAGGAGAAAAAGCAAAAAAAATCATTCTTAGTTCTACAACTCAAAGCTGCAAAATCATAAATGCTGCTTGTCTTGTCTCTCAATGAAAATGAATAGAAAAAACTTCAATTTCTTTGACTAATATTTGCATAAATCTTTGTTTTTTAATCTGTAGGATGCTCTGTTTCAAACTCACTCCAACAGAGGAGGCGTTTAGTTTCAGGGGTAAGTGATCACGTGGGTGATATTTTGATGGAAACAGTCTAAACAATTACTTCAGAAGCTGAAAAATCTGTCTCATTTTAAAAAATCCTGGCCTCTCCCTTCCAGGCTGTGATTGGCACTATCACTGGTGCCTGCACGACCACCACAGTGCTCTGTCTTTGCTAACAGAACCCCCAATTTTTAGTTTAGGTAGAGGGTGGAGGCCAGTAGTGTCAGTGCGGGTAGGTCTCTTCCCAGCCTCCTTTGCAAAAAGAGGTGGTCATGTGATCTGGTGGGGCCGGACTGACTGGGAAAGCTCCCCGTAGGCCCCCTGTAACCTAGGTAAAAAAAACCAAATTGTAATGAGAAACACCCTCCCTTGCTTTCCTTGTTCTTTTTTTCTTCTTCTGGCATAAATCCCTGGAGCGAGGACATGATGTGTGAGGCTGTGGCAGCCACCTTGTGACCATGTGGCAATGCAGAGAAGCAAAACCAAAAAGTAGAGAGGGTAGCAAAGCAGGAAGATGGACAGAGCCTGGACCTCTGGGACCGTCACTGCACAGCTGTACTCACCCTGCGCTGCATAGTTCTGAACTTTATGTGAAGTAATGACAACATCCTTTATAACATACCAGGCCAGCCCTGCTCAACCTTTTTCAATACCATGCCATTCATAGGACATGGTATCAGGGGAACACGGAGGAGACTGCTGGTACCTGAGGTGAATAACCGCGGTGGCTTCAGTACCCCGAAGACTGAGAGGATAAACATCTCTGCTCATCTCTTTGGGGCTAACCACCATCCTGGCTGGAAAGTTCAAGCTGTGTCTACTAACAGGTTTTCTGTTACTTGGGCTGAAGCATTTCCAGTACTGGGCTCACTTCTACTTTTCAATACAAAGTGATGAGATTTCATAAGATATTGTTCTTTCTCTAGTAACATATTGATACGGAAGAAACCCTGACCTAAGCCTAAATCACATCATGTGAGTCCACTGACTGGACTATTTGCTATTTGTGTTCATTTTTGTCAGTTATGGGGCCACTTCCAAATTGACTAAGGTTCTATTGCATGAGATAAAAAAAATGGGAATGCTTTCAGGTGATACATTTGAGACTACATTCATAACGGTTGAAGAATTACAGATATTAGAGGAAAATATTTCATTAGTGTCTAGAAGTTCATTTTATGGGTCAAGTAGTGTTTTTTATACAATCTTAGGTTTGGGTACACAATGGCCTTGGTAATAATGGACTGTTTCATGTTACTGTTATGTATGTTTCTTTGTAAGACCCGTTTCCTCATTCCACCAGTGCTTACCTTATAGGGTTGACAAGTGCATTCAATAAAATAAATCTGTAGAGTGCTCAGCAGACGAAATGGTATAGAATAGGCATCCATTACATGCTCTTAGGGTTGTTATCACAAACAAAAAATGAGAAAATTGTGCATTAACTAACAGTAGCCACAACTTACTCATTTTCAAAAAATTACCTTCCATATATAGTCAGAGGCTTCATAAATATCAGGTAAGTGGTATGAAAATGTGATGCACTCACCACCCCCCAGAATTCACGTAATTACTTCCATCTGAGGCCAGCTCCCAGGTGACCTGCTTTTCTGTCTTGGCAAAGAGGCGGAATCTCCAGTTACATCGGAGAGCTGCGCTCTTCCACAAAAATATCCAGTTCCCTGGCTCTCCAGAAATCCCGCTGACAGGGCTCTATGTGGGCGCCCCTTGTTTATCAAGAACTGTTTCTATGTCACCGAGGCAAGGAAATCAATTTTATATCTGCCTCAACCACAGACTGACACATGGGATTGAATGCCAATCAGCTGGGGCTCTCTGCTAGCTCATGGTGCTGGGGTGCTGAGCCCAGGGCTCATCAGTCTGCACTGGAAAAGTTAAATGTGTTATAACTGTTACAATGGCCAGAAGCAAGTGATCAATACACATCTTCCTGGAATTAAACTTTTTAATAAGATAGCATTTCACTTTTTCGGGATCCTTTTCTTAGTTCGCCCAAGCTTAAGTACTTCCAACACTGCATTTGGATCATGAAGAAACCTTTTCTGAGCACTTACTATGCCGAAGACCATGGCAGACCCTATGAGGGATATGCAGCTTTTGCCCTTTGCACTCTCCTCCTCTGCTGCGGGCATCACCACAGCTCTGGGCCAGTCATCTTTCCTGACTCTGTTCTCCTGACTCACTTTGCATAGGTCTTTCATTGAACTGAACAGCAGTCGCCTTCTAATGTATCTATTAATACAAATAGTATAATTTCTCAAGCAAAGGTTTTCCACACTTGCTATCCTGTCTAGCATGCTATACCATGCCCTGTGCCGAGAAGGCCTTCCCCACATGTTTGGGGATATTGGATTGAAGTGTGAGTATGTGCACTGTCTATTTTAATAGATATGATAAGGATCCCAGCCCGAGAACAGACACAAAGCAATATCTATTCGTAGGATTTAGATCTGCCTGGTGGGCAGGCCCACTACAAGTCTGTTTGCTGAGGATTGAGGAAGGTCTGCGAAAGCAGATGAATTGAATCACGTCTAGTTCATGTAGCAGGCTAACCCAAGGACTCATGTTTGATTCCTAGGGTGGGAGACACAGAGAAAGTCATAGAGGGGAAGGGGAGAGGGAGAGTACAAACAGACAAAAACCAGGAGAGCTATTTCCTCAAAGTCTATAAAACATCAAGCACAAGTAATATTGTTTTGGGGCCCCACTGACAAGTAAGGGTGCTCTTCCGCATGTGCCATGGCTCTGAGCCTCTGGGCCTCCGCTGTGCATGGCTAAAGGCCCAGCAAGGGGTGGACGGGACCTTCCAGGCCTGGTGGGAGACTGCAGTGCCTGCTGAGGGACAAGGGAGGAGTGACGACTCTCAGTGGGATTGGACTTGTTGTGATCACCCAGGAGACACCTCCGGGGACGCCAGGTCCATTTGCAGGGGATGTGACAGGGGACTCAGCATCTGCCTCAGTAGATGGGAAAGCACCAGTGGATTTTGGTATCTGACTGTCACCCCATTTGTTCTCACATGTTGGTGGGACCCGGTACTACTCCAGTTACATTCAAAGTTAAAAAGGCGCAAAAGTTAAATGCAGTATAACTTAGTCACTGTTGTGTTGTCACCATTTCCCACGAAACTTTCCCTTCCACGGGGTTTGTCTGTGGAGCATGAAGGTGTTGGGAAGGCCTCAGAAGCTTCCTGATTTTCTGACTCCTAATGAGAAACCAGTCTAAGTAAAAATACAAAGGGCTCTTCGCAAAATAGCCTTTGAAACTCGTCACACCCTACTAGGACCTCACTCACTGTGGATGAATCCATTACTTATGATAATGATTATTTGGAAAGAGGCTGCCCTGACCAAGGAGTTAGGAAATGTAGGTCTTAGTTCCTGTTCTGCTATTAAGTTATGTTGCAACCTCAGCATCCTCACTCAGCAACTCTCTGGTCCTCTCTCTTAAATATATATATATATATATATATATATATATATATATATATGTATAATCTTATTTCAGAGAGGAAGAGAGAGGGAGAGAGAGATAGAATCATCAATGATGAGAGAGAATCATTGATCAGCTGCTTCCTGCACGCCCCACACTGGGGATCCAACCCGGGCATGTGCTCCAACCGGAATGAACCTCTTGGTTCATAGGTTGACACTCAACCACTGAGCCATGCTGGCCAGGCAGGACCTGCCCTTTTTCCTAAAAAACTTTATACAGCTATTTGACTGTTAAACTTGACATACAGAATTTTGATACAAAAATAATCAAAAATAAAAGGGCTGGATGACAAGATGTCAGAGGACCCTTTCATTTCCAGAGCTCCATGATTGTTTGAGGACAAGCTGTGCTACTGGGATTGGGAAAACATCAGGAAGGTGGGCAGGAAAAAGGCAAAGTGAAAACTTGATCCACTTCACAAATCAGCTTTGCCCTGGCCTTGAAATGCCTGCTTCCTCTCTTCTCATGACTCAGTGAAGGCAAAGAAAATGGCAGTAACAGCAGTTGGAATGACTGGGCACCAACCCAGATGCACTCACATATGAACAAAAGATGAAACTGCTCTCCCAGACCCCGTGCTTCGGCACTCAGGAGCACCCCTGCAGGGTGATGAGAAACAAGGAGAGAGAAGACAGAGAAATGCTCACTATACTTTCTCCAAGTGGCCACCGGACGAACTTTCATTTCAGCCAACTCCTTTGTTGAGAAAACAAGTCTGGTTGTTTTAAAGTTCTTGTGTGACCTTCCGATCACTAATTTTTAATACGCTGGCCAGAAAAATAAGGAGCTCCATTATGTCATTATATATTTCCTCTTTATTACTTTATCATTGAAAGCAGGCTATTAAACAAATACATTTTGGATTAACATTATTCTGACTTGAGATTTTTATCATTGCCTCCAATTCCCTCATTTCACGTACCCAATTCTCCTGACACCCAGACTATGAGCTAAAAGCAAAAGGCTGGTTGTGTTTAGTCTTCCTGTCTGGGGCTGTTAGTTTCTCTGAAATTAATGAGTCCTCAACACAGGTTTACTGTGGACTTCCAAGGTGAAATTCTTTCCCCCAAAGATCAGCAAGTCATCTAAATGACAAGGAGAGAATTTCACAGGTAACAGGATTAAACAAGGGATGTGGGAATCAACTTTCTTCTAGTCTTGAAGAAATTGTTTGTTATTCTTTGTGTATATTTGTGGTTTATCAGAGAAGCAAAATGAAACGGGACTCTGGCAGAGCCTCGCCCTACAGGGTGCCAGGGATGGAGGAGGAATGGCGGGCACTGCTAAAGCGAGCCTGGAGGAGGTTCACCCATCCTGGCGCTCGGGCCCTGGAAGTCAACACCACTCTGCGATATCAGAGCTAGGCCATGGCTCAGAAGGCAAGTGGGAATGCAATGGGTGGGCCACAAGGGGGCACCTCAGAGAGAGGCCACAGCAGCTGACGGAGCTGAAGTGAAGCAGACAAGCCCGAGGTGCTGCCCTGGGTGGGGCTGGGGGGCCACTCGGGCAGGAGCAAGACACCAGCTTGTATCAGACCCGCTTAACTAAAGCATAGAACTAGCTGTTGAGTGTGGTGTGGACGGATTGAAAGGACAGAGAGAAGTGGTCAGGATAGAGAGGGCGACTTCCAGGGGCCGGGAAGGACCAAACGAACCTCTAAGCAGAACAAGAGTCAGTAAAGCCCATGCGATTTGAAAGATAAGGGCTTTGGCCACTCAGTCAGGATCTCTGCAGACTCAGGCCAAGAATAGCTGCTGAGCTGAAATGTTGTTTGGCCTAAGGTCAGAGGGGCTGGGCTGAGAAGCAGGTTCTGGGCGTATGCCCCACAGGTGTTGCGGTATTTATTCACCACAGGGGGTGCTAACCTAAAATACCTTCAGAGCAAGGGCACTTTGTTTAGGACACGCCCGGGCTGTCTGAGATATGAGGGAGGACCTGAGGTCCCATCTCCTGATGATAATCTGGAAACCCATCTATTTTGCTGTGGTTTTGCATCTCAGGTATTACATGCCTGTCCTTTTAATTCCTTGAATGACTCCACCTGTGTTTCAGCTGAACCGCAAGGCAAAGAAATAGTTTCAGTCCTCAGTCAATAGAGAGAAGAAGAGGAGTACCTTGAAAGAACTTTATTTCCTAACCTCTAGTGAGCATAAGT